AACTCAGTGCTGCAGTCGTGCTGGAAAAGAAGACGCTCGGTTTTCTTTCTGTGTAAATATGCAGGTTTGACATGATGAACAGATGTGTGTTCTTATGTTTCAGAAACAGCTGCTATGGACACCTCATAATGAAGACGATGCTTTCTTTTTTTTTTATGCTGTTCGCCGTCATCGAGTGTTGGTGTCGATTCACAGCCGGACTTCTTCCCAAATTTGAGTTTAGCCTCTTGAATTAACTGAATTAGGCTGGAGATGGACTTTAAATCGAGGGAAACCACAGAATTGTCCTTGATCTGTTTAAATTCAAATCTTTTGGACTGAAATTCAATCGAATTTTGAAACGACCCCAGTTCTTCATCTCTGAGGCCTTGTGGCGTGAATATCCATTCCTTAAGTGTTTGTTTTATGTTGTTGACCTTTACATGGTTTAATTTTATGAAAATAAGTAAACAAGCTTTTCTAAGCATGTTGAGATTCTTTCTTTCTTGTCCTTTAAACTTGAAAGCTACGAAACAGTTTTTCACATGTTTCAAAGTTAGATTTTGGAGGCTGCAGACTCACATAAACATGAGAATGACGTGTCTGCCTGAGCAGGCGGTGGTGCAGAGTCTGGTCAGGATTACCTGTGATGGATAATGTTGTTTAATGATGTCTCAACAGTTTCTTTCAGCCAATCACAGAGGATCACATGATCAGTTTCTTACCCCGGCTGAAGAAAAAGACGTTTGGATATAAAATTTAAAACAAAATCACTCCTAACGTTTATCACTAATAAAATAGTTACAGTTGCTACCACAAGGGGGAGCTCAAAGATCTTTACTGTAAGCCCGTGACTGGTCCTGAGAAACAATGCACTGCAACCCGCTGGGATGACTGCGAGCCCTTAGTGTGCATTTTAATGAGCAAATCGAACAGCACTGCATACAGCCCAAAAATATCTTCCTGTTGAATCACTTCAGCGTGTTTGATGCGTGTCGTCCTGTAAATGTCATGCTTGAGTCTGTAGGTGTGTAGCAGGCTCTGACACTCACACTAACGCACTCTAGATTTTCCTGTATTCAAATGTTTAGACCCTGCCAGTCTCGTCATCCTTGTCGTGTCATATTTGGGGTTAGCCTGAGTATTTAACCAGAAATCTGACACAGGGTTCAATCAAATCATGTTTTCAAAGTGAGTGTATTTTATCGAAGTCATAAATGTGACAATAAATAAGTAGTTAAAGGGCTGTTAGGTATGTGGGCATATCAAACGTATTATAAAAACTGTCACATTCAATAGATCACACTGGATTTTTGGTCCCATAGTCATATATGTCACATTTAATATGTATTTTTTAACAGGTTTCTTCCTGTTAAAAGGGAGTTTTTCCTTCCCACTGTCGCCAAAGTGCTGCTCATAGGGGGTCATATGATTGTTGGGTTTTTCTCTGTA